TACATCTTGCCAAGCCTTTTCTCTTATTAGTTTAAAAAAGGGCTAGATTAATGTCTAATTAGCCTATAAAACTTTCTACTACTTTTATAAATATTCTAGATTTTTAAAGTAAATAAATATATTTTACTAGGTTTATTACTATATTCTAGGTGTTTTAATGCAATATTATAATGCTATGTTTTATTATTAGTAGGCTAAAGTTTACTCTTTTATTACTGTTTATAGTTTTAAAGTGTTACTAAGCTAGAATTAGTGTGTTAGCGTCTGTATTCTAGTACTGTCCTCTTTTCTTAGTTATATCTGTCTAATTCTAGCTAGATATTTGTAGATATCTGCTAACACTGTTACTTAGGCTTAGTATGTCTTTCTAGCCTTACTATAAGAAATGTTAAACTTATTACTTATTATCTAACTTTGCAACTAACTAATATAGTGCTTTATATAAACATTATTATGTTACAGTCTACGGTTGGACCAGCGTAACTCCACCAGGAGTGCTCCACAATCTACCCGGATTGGGACAGGGCTCGCTTATGGACTAATCAGAGGACACGGAGGCGGCGCACCCGCCTGAAATTATAGAAGAATGTGTTGTCTAGTAAGGAGACAGGCTATAAATCTAGGGAGCTAAAGGGAGCTTATAGGAGCCCCTCCTAGCAGGCTCCCCTAAGCTTTTACTAACTCCCCTTAGCGCCCTAGCACATGTATATAGTTTCTACATTAAACAACCTTTAAAAGGCGTGTTTAACATTTAGTTTATTCTTTATATAAACTAAGTAGCATTTAGCTTTCTAAGAAGCTATAATACTATTTATATATCTTGCACTATATATACCTCTAACTCTGTCTGTAAGGACTGTTTAACTCTAGCCTTTCTACTACTGCATATAGGGCAAACTATAATCTAGTTACTCTAAATTATTCTTTATTAGCCTAATAGCCTGTACGTAGGACTGTACACCCTACTAGATTAGCCCCTACTACCTGTCCTACTCCCCCTTAGGAATACTATAAGACCTAAGTGCTTTCTAAAGCAAAGATTATAACATTAAACACTACTTTTTTAAAAAGTATAGATACTTTCTAACACAACTTAGATTCTAACATAGCCTACGCTGCGCTATTAGGATCTATAGAAGTTCCTACCTAAAGTAAAGCTATTCTAGTAGAATAGATTAATGTAATTTAGAACAACATTAAAAAACTCTAGTAAATTAGTAATAAAGTTAGTAAATTACTAAAACTTAAAAAAAAGATTGCTAACTTTTACTAAAAAGTAGTAAAATTATAAAACTTTTCTAAGCCTTTAAGCCCCTAGAAAGCAACTAGCTAAGCCTATTAAATACATAAACTATAAGTAGAGCTAGTAAAGATCTAAAATATTTTAACTAAAAAAGCAAGTATAGCAGCTAAAAAGACTTTAAGACTAGCTTTTTTAAAGCCTTTTAAAGAATTATTAAAGGACCTTTAACTATTTTTTATAAAATGTTACCTTTATATGTAATATAATAAAGGAGCATTTTAGACTAACATAAAAATAATATCCTAGATAAGATTGCACCTAAAAAGCCTTTTTGTAATTTAGTTCTAACCTTATGTAAATAACTAGATAAATTTTAAAGCAAATAGTAAACTACTTACTTTTAAAATAAAAGAAGTATTTAGTAGCATTAAAAACTTTAAAAAAGCTCTAACAGCTATTTATAAAACCTTTAATAAAAAGAAAATTACAGCTAATAAGCTTAATACTATAAAATAAGAAAATAGCCTAGTCTAGAATTATGCAGCACGCTTTAGAGAACAGCTAGCTATTTGCAGATAGACAGACTAAAAAGCTTTTTACTACATGTTTTACAACAAACTAAGTAAAATAATAAAAAATAAATTTATACATAGTAAAAAACTAACTACCCTTAAAAACTTTATTACATAAGTAATAACTTAAAATACTACAACAGTTCATAAATGATCTGTAAAAGCAAAGCTTGCTTAGAGTAATTATCGCAACTGCTAATTAGAGAGCTATAAAAAGTAAGTCTATTAACTATAAGAGGCTTATAGAGAGCTTAGACGCTAAGTGTCTTAGGCTGCTTGTCTAAAACACAGGCGCAACACTAGGCCTATGTAGGTGACGCTAGGTCCCTGTGCTCTTCTTACGCAATAGTAATAGTTAGCGCATTAAAGTAGGTTATTTAGGTTAAATAATAGTTACAGCATAATGCTTAGCAAAGTAGTATTAGATAGGTAATAGATGTATAATAATAATATTTAACTAGAGCATGTAACTAATTACTAACACACTAATATAGCTAATGCTAACCTCTAAAACACTAATATAGCTATAAAAAAAAGTAAATAATAGCTAGCTAATTCTTAGCTTTAATTAAGTTAGTAAAAGTTCTTTTTTAAAAACTTAAAGTTTATGTAAATTTAAAACTAGTTATTTAGAAATTAGTTAATTATTAGCTGTAATTAAAAGAACACGTTCTAGCTTTAGCTTTTAATATGTTCCTTTTCTTGCAATAGTTTTCCTTTGTTATAGTTATGTTACAGCTATCTAACCCCTAAGTACCCTAAGAGCTTAGCACAGGGTATATAGGCTCCTTAGCCTCTGTACCTCTGCCTCTAACCCTAAGGTTTACTCTCTTTTATTAACCCCCTATCCTGCTTTCCCTCTCTGTAACCTGTGTTTCCTGCTTAATACCTCTTACATCCTTTTTTTAACACCTTGCAGTCTCTAGCGTTGTGTAATAAGGTAGACGCCCTGCCTGCTAAGCTAATACTATATAACTTTCTCTACTGTACTAAAAGGTAC